CCAGCCCCTAGGTATATTCTTTAAAAGTTCTCCTATAGCAGTTTGTGAGTGGCAAATTCTAGATTTATGTCTGAAAATATAAAAATCCTTTATTCTTGAATAACAGCCTGGTTGGTAATAGAATTCTGAATTAAAAGGAATTTACTTTTGGCAATTTAAACATAATATGTTGGTGTCTGTTGCAGTTTTAAAGAGATCTGTAGCTACTGTCATTTGTTATAACCTCTCTTTATTCTCTTTGTAGCTTTCAAATTTTTTTCTTTATTCCTAATATTCCACAGTTTCACTATATTTCTGGGCTATAATTCATCATAATTAACCTTATTTAGCATTCCACTCAATTGGTGAATGTGCTCCTTCTTTCTGAATATTCTCAGCTGCTATCTCCTCACTGGTTTCTACCTGCACATCTGTAATTCTCTAGATGAATGTTGGCATCTTTCAATTTATCACTCATGTGTCTTTCTTATATTTTACCCTTTTATATTTCTGCAGGTGAATTCCTTCTGTCTTCCAATTTCCTATTTCTCTTTCTCTGATTTCTTTCCAGTCTAAAGGTTATCTTATCTACAGAGTGTTTATTTCATTGAAAATATTTTACATTTCTAGGCTCTTTAGTTGGCGTTGGCTATTTTGAACATCCACTATTCATGAGATTTCTGTTTTTATCTCAACATTTATTGTAAGGGCTTCTGTGAACTTCCCATATTTGCACTGCATGTGTAAAGAATCACCTGATTATTTAATTCCCTCACTAGCACTTTTTGTTTATTATAGTGAGCATCTGGTTAAAAGTTCTTTGACCTTTCTAATATTATACAAAGTCTGATCTTTAGAAACTTCCACTTCATTATCACCAGCCAGGCCTTCTTGACCAAGCTGCAATCTGCCTCTCTCAACAGATTTAATATATTCAAAACTAGACTTGATATTCACCACCTGTTAAATCTGTTCCTCCCTAGTATTCTATACAGTAGAATGGCAATTCCACATGTTTTTCCTCCCTAGTGCCTCAGGTAGGAAATCTTACAGTCAATTTTAAATCTTTATCCTCCTACAGATAATGGTCAGTTCCCCAGCATATTGTATCTGCTCTGTCTTCCAGAAATATTTATAGTCATATTGCCCTGGTTTAAGCTACTATCCTTTCTCATCTGGATTACTGAAACACGGTTCTCCTTGATTCTCCTCTTACTCCACTTTTAACACAAGACCCAGAGTGATCCTACTAAAATATGATTTGAACCATGTTAAGTCCTATATGTAAAATTCTCCAGTGGCTTCTCATCTTACTCCAGATAAACACTCACATCCTTTCAATGACACTGAAGGTCCCACATGATCTGGTCTAGTTATCGTTGCCTATTTTTCTCCTTGCTAACTCTAGTCCAGCCACACTTGCTA